TTCGGAAAAACATACAGATACGGTAATTACATCAGTAATTAATTTAATAATGATACATTTACAAGTCAATTCGAATAAAATGTATAGAAATTGGAATTCTTTGTAAAGTTGAAGAAAAATGCAAAATAATATTATACGTGCTAAAATTCTAGTAAATTTTATAAAATTAGCAGATCCATATAGGAAAGGGCACCTACTTTTATAAATTTACTTTATTTTTCTGTCAAATGAGCGATCATCGTCTAGCCATTACACATTTCATAAAGCAAATTTTATTCGCTACTACGATTTGTTATTATTTCTTAATCTAGGTGATGGTAAATCACTATCACATCTTGATAGAAGTTAATTTTACCTTAGCACTGAACAAAATTTACTTAAAACAAATACACGTTTATAAAGTCTTGAAAGTTATTTGTGCTTACAATCTTGAGGATAGTATGATTTACTTTGCAGAAGACAATCATTTGAATGGATTTATTATAATTGTAATATATTTTTTACCTCTGGTATTTTTACTTTTAGGTAAGTAATAAATTTTGGTTTGTCATAAATTCGACAAAGCTAGCTAGAATATTTTTATTAGATTTGTAAGACCATTTTTCTCTCCGTGCTGAAACAACTTTTAAATATCTTACATTTATATCTTCGTGCATGTCGTAAATTAACTTGAAAAGAACGAGACGACAAGCGCATCTAGGTCAAAAGCTCCGTTTGATTTTTATCGGACTTATCACTTTCTCAATTTTTTCATCGATCGTCATTTTCGTTAAAAATTCTGTAAGTCTTTTATTTGCTTTATTACGAAATTCTAACAGGGAACACGAAAACGCCCGACAAAATAATTGGAATCATTTTTTCACGATTCCATCATAAAGAAATTATAAAGAAATTTATGGATCTATCGAGTGTAAGAGAAACGCGTTGGAAAAAAAATACGCTTTGCACATTGATAAGAGCGAAAAGCGTCAAAACCTCGTTTCTCTTAGACATCGTGTGTTTTTCCCACTGATAGATGCGAGTCGTGAATTTTATCTGTAAAATATATATCAATCTAGCTCGCAAACAGTTTCTGCGAAGAGCTTAGAGATTCTCCAATAGCGCTTTCGCGATCTCAATTGTTCCTCAATGCGTCCGATCTACATGCGAAAATTAATTTATATCAATCGACGCGTCGTGTGCACGAAACCACCATGGACGTCGGGCCTTGGTTTTCTTTTCGACATTGTAGTACAATTTAAAGTTAACGTTGAATTTTATGACGAATGTCACAAACCCAACAGATTACATGCAAATTTTTTTTTCACAACGGAAAAAAGAAAATTTGACACGTGAAGTGACAAAATGTTTTGTGCGGTACAAATGTTTTTGTATGTATAAAATGTATATAATATTCTCTTTTAAAGAAAAATTTTGCCTGCGCCCATGTCGCCCACTTAAATACAATTATTGATATCTTTAGAATATTGATGATTGAACTTCACTTCGTGGAACTGCCTCGAAGTTTCGAAATACCGAACGCAACTCATAGTACTCTGCGTACGCAAATAAGCCTAGGTCAATGGAGAACTGACTAATAGGATGATTTGCTTAACGTCGGTACACACACAATGAGTATCGTCGTGACGAAATGAAATTTAGTCTATCGCAAATATCCAGCGATTCAATCATTTCATACCGAAGAAAACAGTACGTGATTAAATAAAAAAATTTTCAATTTTTTTTCTAAGAACATTCATAATAATGCTTCGTCTACACAAGTTGGAGTTCATCTCAATTCAACATAAAGTGGTCAAAGCCACACGATTTTTACGTAAAAATTCCTGTCTACATGAAAAAAAAAAAAAAGTAAGAAATATAGAGAAAGCGAAAATTAAATGAGCTAGAAACTAAGTTATATATTTCTGATGTTTAGCGCAAGATTTTCATGCTGTAGCCGACTGACGGTTTACCAACCGCGCGAATTTGTTTAATAATTTAGAGTAATTTTGGGCGAATCCATTTTAACGATTTAAATCGGGAATTCAATCATTATTTGGATTACAAACGGTACCTCGTTTGTGCAGGACCAGCTGCTCCAGGTGGGCCATCAGGAGAAGGATAATAAAGGACGCAACGAGATCGACGTAATGTGCCATTTTCCCTCATCGATCGAATTCCGTGATTATTATGCTCACGCGACTCTTTCGCGATTGATATTTTTTCTTTCTTTTCGCGAGGAAATCGTAAATTGGATCTCTCGATTCTGCTTTTTATCACTTTCTTTTTTTCAAAATCTCTGAGAAAAATATGTGAGCGACCGTCCCGAGGAAGTTTCGTCCGAATGCGCCTCGAATGAGCGCTCAGCTTGCATTGAAGCATTTGGTACGCCGGCACTTCGGTTTTGTCATCTGTACCTTTATACATCTCCCTCGCAGGTCCCGGGCCTCTCCTTCTACCCTTTGTCCTCATCCTCCCTCCTTCTACTCGCAACACACTGTTGCGTAGCACGACAAGCATACTGTCCTTCCCTCTCGCACTCTCTTTTTCTCACTGCCTTATTAGATACGAGAATATACGCGTGATACGCTCGCAGACTCCGTGTGTTGATTAATAACGCGATTCGAGCAGAAACGGAGGCAAACCAGCGCGATAATCATCGAAATCGTCTGCATATCGTTTGCGACTTGATAGAAATCATCACGTAGCTCCAAATATCAATCAAAAGCTGTATTAAATCGTATTAAATAAATACAATTTCGAGTATAATTATTACTAAAAGATATTAACAATCAATCTTATACTTTAAATTATTACTTTGGCTTTGTCACAATCAATTCTCGATAAATTCGTTCTTTGGCTTTGTCACAATCATTTCTCAATATAAGTTCGTTTAAACTTTTATATCCAAGAAGAACAAGACAGTTAAAATAATATCAATTTAATGTCATATTGACCGATTATTGATTGAATTTATGCCATTTTCTTAATGATTCAATCGATTTTTAAAAATCATTTTTTACTCATTTTTTTAAAATTGTTTACAGCAAAGTTATATACTTTTAAATTTTTTTTAAATATTGATTTCTGAAATGCTTAATCACAATTTTGATATTACAAAAATATTTTTTAATTTAAGAATTTCTTAGATATGAAAAACTTCGATTCTATTATTATATTTTTTTGTGTTAATATAATTTTAAATAAAATGTTTTACGAATTATACATATAATAGAATATATTTTTTCAGTATAATAATTTAACATTCTGTCTTTTATATATTTGACCTTTAAAAAAAATATCGTTCGCGGCGCGTCAAAATGGCTCCCTCCTGACAAATTTCTGGATCCGTCAATGAGCACAAGGCAGCTTCACGGCTTATTCTTCGAGTTCTCCACCATCCTCGTGACTTCTTCCGCAGCTTCTGCTCCTCCAAGCCGCGGTACAAAGCAGCTTTTTTTGCGGAGACTTGCTCAACAGTGGCCCCCTTGTAACGCGAAATTTCGTATCATTCATCAGGCGCAAGTTGCCTCCAAATCTCAACCAGGGTAAATTTATAATGTGTATAAATCGTCATTTATAAATAGCGCCATTACAATTGTACGCTGTCAACGAGAAATGTTTAATGAGATTTTGCCTAACTCTGTTCTCTCTTCAGATACCAAAAAATTTTAGAAAACTCTTAGTCGTCGGAAGGAATTATCAAGAGAAACGCTTATGCGTTATTATACGATTTAACGTTACCGATTTGGTTTCGAAGATTGACTTATAAATCTGATCGCATATAAATTCTTATCCGTCGCCGAGTATCGCCCGCCATCATGATCGTAGCAGCGATATTGATGCTGACCGTGACACGCGTAACACCCTGGGGTGACAGAGTCGCGCATTATGAAAAAATCTCGCGTAATTCAGAAGCCGCCAGTAACACACGCATCATATCCTCGAGGCTCGCCGTCAGCGTCTTACAAAGCCACATCTTTGGGTCTAAAGTAATGCTTTTTTGCCGCGGTTGAGACTGCATGTGCTCGGTCTGCTCGTAATAGGGCGAACGAGCGACGACGTTGCGTGATCACGCGTGTCCATGTAAAAAAGCGGAGAATTTGACAATCTGCTGAGAAGGGGAAAAAAAAAAAGGAGATGCGGTTAACGCGCTTCGTAGGAGATAAGTTTATTTGCTCGGTCGCTTCCTGTTCCGCGTTTCGGCCGATGACAGCTATGATCGTGGCTCCCACGAATTTAACGATGATGATCTTGAAAAGCAGAGCATTAAAAAATTTTACAAGGAGAGAACGCGATAGGCCCTTTAGGATTTTCATCTCTTTTAGCGTAATGAATCTACATCGAAAATAAATTGTGCCATGTCCGAATATTTTTCTTGAACCTTGAATATTTTTGTGGACTTTGCAAATCGTATTTTTAATGTACGAATGGACCCCGCATTAGTCCTCCGTGATCCAACGTTTCTTTCACTGTTTCTTTTCTAATTCAACCGAGCCACTGATGCCTTATTGTATTTTTCAAAATGTTTTGGGCTCTAAAAAATTTGAAAAGATCCTCTTCTAACTTTCAAATTAAAAAAATACAACTTTACAATGATATGATCCGAAATATTTTTCATCTTTTTGTATGTGTCCAAATTTGAGGTAGAATAATTTAAAATTGAAAATTCATCTGGGTCTTCAAAGTCTCATTTTGATCACGGAAAGTTAATTATGTAGAAAATTAAATCCCGATGAAATGAGTCAGTTTTCATATATAATGTAAATGGGTAAATAAAAGGTATCATATATGCAAGATTTAATAATGAATAATTTCTGAGCTGTGGTGTATAAAAGATGTTCTGTACATGAGCACAAATTTCACACCTTTGATGCACCATTATTGCTAAAAACTATCCATTGAGCTTTACATCTACAATATTTTTTATTCACTATATTATAAGCTATATTATATGTGTGCAAACTAATTCATTATATTGTATTATCGAAATCCAATTTTCCAGATAATTAGTGCAGTCTTATCATGCATTAAAAAAAATGCTATATATACAAGAATCCAGTGTTCTCTCCTTCTTAAACAGATACTGATAACTTGATACTTTGATAACATTAAGAATTTATCTCGAAGCTGTTTAACTATCTAATTATCACAGTGAATTACACCGCGACAATTAAACAACGTTTGATAATAGCGATAGATGAGGAACATCGTGCACGTGTATCTACGAGACTAATGGACAATATAAAAACTCAAACTTTGTATCTCAAACTGGCAATTTTATTCGATTGATCTGTTACGTTATTGCGTAACACGGACACATCGTTTGATGGGAAGGTTTACACTTGATTCTCGTGTCCTCGCGTTTCATCTTTGCTGACACATTTATTCTTCATGCGATAAAAAAAGGATTTTTCGCATAGTATCTCCGTGAAAGAATGTAATGTACAATAAAAAATTTATTATAACTCGCCGCTTTCCAAAAAGGAGCCAGATAATTATAATAACCTTTCTCACATAAGACGCAGCGAATCGAATCAATAGGTATCAATAAATGTAATATATAAACACACAAGTGTCTAATGATAAAATACGAATCTTATTGATCTTATCATTTGTGTAATTTTGACAATATTTCCTTTTCTCACACATGTTAGCGGTAACACGTAATCTAATAAATACTGACAAAACCGTCCGAAAACAACACGAGAATATATATAGCCTTAATTTAAAAATATCGCTGTTGTACTTTATTCTAAAATTAGACAATTACAGCTTATTTTATTAAATCGACTACGAGCGCTTTCTATTCGAGAGTATAATAATTACTTGTTTCATCCTAGGTTTCGAATGTCGAGTAACTAATGAGATTCTGTTTACTGATGTGAATGTGTAACCGAAAATTTGCCTTATTTCTTCTCTATTAACGCCGATTATAGAAGATGTAATAATCGTAGATGATCGTCATAATTTTATATATTGATTTCACCTTTGTCATATAATACAAGAATCTCGTAAAATGAAATTATCGTTAGAACTAGGTAATGTATCAAATGTAATAAAAAAATATTTGCGAAACATTTACTTTACATGAGTAAATCGTGATACGCGGAGTGTGGAAGAACGTGAACGAGGTGTGTAAGATGAAAGTATTTTTCTGAGTGTGACAAGTTCGTTATGAATATCGTGATCAAAAACTGAACTCAATTCTTTAGATGATTGTGATCCAATAGAGAATTAATGCTAAACCGAAATGGATTTCGATACAGCACACATTCTCATTTGTCCGCGTAAATAATAAAATACACAATTTTACCTTGCAATTTTTTATCAAAAATTGTACATCTTTTTTGAGCGTAGCAACATATCTCTATATTGATAGAGATAGAATGTGGTAATCGGTTCATAAAATTTCAACTAAAATATTAAGTTCTATAATAATACATAAATATATAATATCTATGAGTTTATTGGAGGCAATATTATAACATGATGTAGCCAAAATCATATGCTATATCATAGTAATATGTAGTGTAAATTTTTAATATGTAACTTATAAACAGGACGCGAACATTTCTCATTACATCTGTTAGTAAAAGATATTTAAACACCATCAGATAAAATACAAGTGCAGTCTGCAATGATATAAATTAAATAAGTTAGTAACAATCACCAAGAGACATTAAAAATTTTTTATCACTACAGTTTCCAGAGTAATAATAGACAATATGTATGATTGTAAAAAATATTCAAATAGCAAAGAATAAAATCTTTATTCTAAGTGTAATTTTTATTCAAAAGTAATAAGACAATGGAGTAAAAATCCGTGTATTTCATGTGCGGAAGGTATAGTCGTCACTCTCAAAAATTCTATAAGTAGACACCTCGTTCTGGAAGTTATCTAAAGAATTTTTATATGAAAGCAAATGGAACTCTTTATCTAATGCCTCGTTCTATTTTATCCTAACTTATTCATAAAATCCGCGATATTGAGAACCAAGCGGACGTTATTTTATAAAGGGAACGACGACTAGGCCATATGAATATAACTGAGGAATTTGTCTTATGTTTTGATACAGATTTAGTGCAATGGTAAAACCTATCTAATTTAATCCAGACCCTTTCCTTTCAAACCACTTTCAATATATCTTAACAAATGCTGTATTTTTATACACAGGTTCTCAATCGAAAGAGTCTAGATCTTCTAAATTCTGCTTCTCTATTTTCATATATTCAGAAAAAATGTGTCCTGAGATTTATTCATATGGCATATTGTTTTCAGTCCACTAAACTATCTGCTCTTGATTGATTCGGTGCACAAAATTTCATTCATTTTTCTTTCTTTCTTTTTTTCA